TTCTTTACGTCAAAGATGGATTCCATCACGTGTAAAATTAATTATTTCTAAGTGTGTATCGAAACACTTGGAACATGTCAACATTACCACCAAGGATTTAGCATGTTATTGTATGTGTCACATGATAGGGTTAGGTTCAAATCAGAAACAGACCATTTTCCAGTGGGTATCAGGAGCATGTCCAGGATTTGTAAATGTAGCCACAAATGATTTTGATTTTAAATCTTTATGTGGGCATGACCAGATGAAGACAATATTGTTTAGGACAGTCAATATCACCACCACCATCTAAGTTTTGAATACTCATGTAACGGGTTTGACCCCAAGTCAAGCCTAGCTAACCGCATTCCTGGGGAAATCCGTAACATGTTCTGATGTAACCATGTGTGGGTCATATAATTGGAGGTGTCACATAATGGATATTAACCCAAATCAAAACTGGCTACTACCCTTTGGGCACTCGTATCATTTTCGGTTATGGCCATTATGCTTCTGATAATGTATTTTAATTCATGGGTTTTGGCACAAGTCATAAACTGGCCACGTACACGGGGGCACCTGGAACATGCTCGAATATGGACAAAAATATGTGACTATGGCATGACCAGACACTCCCGGGTAACTAGCTCAGTAGCATGAGACCCCTGAACTGTGTCGCAGGGCCGGCATGTTACTGGGTATTCGGAGGGGCTACGCGGACAAAGTAGGAAACACACAGGAATATTCACATTTTATAACACATTGATTTGCCCTATTCTGTGGCGTGTGGGTGTGGGTTTTCACATATATGTGGCGTGTATGCGAGGGTTTTAAAATTTGCATTGTACTCACTGCTGTAGCGGGATCTCCTACGGCGTCGCGACGCAGGCGTTGGCCCACACGGCTGCTCCTGCACTACCGTGTGGCCGGATACTTGCGGCGCGGGCTGCAGACAGTGTTGTTGCAGCTTTGGGAGAATGGCGGATCTGATGGCGTTCATCGTTTGGCTGGCAGGCGTCTTCCGTCGTTGACAAAATCGGCTGACGTGGCATGGCCACCTCGGTCGAGCCGAGACGGGACTCTCCTTGGCAATTAAGGCCACCGGCCTGAGGGAATCGTCCCTGACGGACGATCGAGGATCATTTACTATTAGGCTCGGAAGCCATCTTGACCGTGTAAAACCGTTTTATTTACGGTACGAGGTGTACAAAATGTACAAAAGCACAAGAGGTCCTATTGCAGGGTAATATTTCCGTCAGGTTGACTGATAACAATAATTTAAGCCTATTGTCCTGAATGGAGGCAGTCCAACTTTCCAGAAACCCCACAAGGGGGGGAGGGGGTACACTAAATGGTACTGCACTTAAAAATACCCGTCTTTTGCACACGGACGCCTGTTTGTTTGTGGTCAATCTTCCACTGAAAGATGGCCTCTCCAATATCTCCAATCATTATCATTCTCCCTCTTTTCGCACAACCATTTTTGTGCGAGATGTTGTATACAAGTTTGTTTCCTTGAGTAACGTTCTTGTTCTTTGCAGCGGCACAAACCCTCTCGCTCTTGTGTGTGTCTACTGTTTTATGTTTAACAAAATGTGAATTTTCCAAACAACAACAACTCATACAAACGAAAATCCACGGATTGTAACCAACTGGTTACAAATATTCAATAGTGCAGGATCCATGAAAACTATTGTTTGGCGCTTGTTGCGTTCAATTGCGTACAGTGGTAGCCGAGAAACATGTCACTCTTAATTCCATTATACACACACTGACATGTTTCGAACTCTTTGCGAGTGAGCTGTTTGAATTGACGGTTAATGGTATATATAATTTGTAAAAAGTGTATTTTAAAATCATAGATTTATTCTTACTGTTGAGAACGCTTTGTATCGAAACAGAGCAGAAGAAGAAACAGTAAGACGCATTTTCCAGCGAAAACATTCCATATTCCCACCGCAAGCCACTTTCCAGATGACTTCGTGTGGGTGAGAATTCTGTGGTCTGCCCATTGCTGGAAAACAGCTCTTATACGTAGATGTTAGAAGGTATTTCAACTTACCGAAGACAGCTAGAGCAAGGAAGATTTGTACGAAGGGCACTCATCGTTGAAGATAGCATATTTTAACGCTAAATAAATTCAGTTTCCTTCGAATGGAAAAGTCGATTTTCTTGCCACAACTGAATGGTAGGTGGGTATTCGATCTCAGCGCCCCTCCCCTGACCTTGCCATAAAAGTTTCTTGGAAGTGTAAGCAAAACATTCCCTCTGATGCTGTATTCTTTAGGTCAATCTGCTCTCCGAAGCCGATGTCAAAGAAAATCTCAGTAGGGTGAAGTCAGAGCACCGATAAAATTGTTCGAGAGTTGTTCTTGTGTTTCCATTGTTGTGTAAATTATTAATTAATTAATTAAAGTGAGTTATTTGGCAAATAGGATCGTAAGGATGTCTTTCTTATGAATGCGTGTACAGCCTTCCAAGGAAATGAGAAACGTGTACGAGGCTATTGCTAGACCTGTCCTTACGGTAGCAGTGAGTGCTAAAAGCTGAATCACTCGTAGGATTATTGCTGATTCATGATTACGCTCATGAATTAATTGAAGTGTCTGTCTACCAGGCCAATCATCTCGTGCAGAAAGTGATCATTGAGACGAGTTTATCTTTAATTAGCGATCGGTGTTTGTTGTGCTACCGTGCAGCAGTTGTAGCAGCTGTTTGATTGGAAGACATTTAGCTGGAAGTGAAAATTAATTTCTTCAGTCATTATTGATGCTTACTCGTCAAATTAGTGGTGCTTAAAATCAAACACACTGATTGCCGGGAAGTATGCCAACTGAGCAGTAGTTTGATTTATGTTTAATAAATTACCCCACAGATATCCTGAACAATTTTAAAATAGTTATTAACTGACAATTACATTAACGGGTTTAATGGACGAAGTTGCTTATTAGAGCATTGCATTTAACATTTAGAACTACATTTTCACAAAACCATCCAGCAACGTTGAAATAAAAAGTGAAGCCATTTATTCCAGAAAAAAAAAACAATCATTCATTAGCACCTGATCAAATATGTGCATGAGGGGGTAGCATTTTCCGTAACACAGTTTTGCTCTTGCTTCTATCCACAATTGTCGCATTCGGAAAAGTTTATCCTGAATGAACAATTCTCATTTAGAGCTGCTATGTTGTATGAATATAGACTACCATGGCCCTTCATTCTGTTGTGCCAGAGTGGATGCATACATAAATCAAAAACTGTGCTTTTCGATTTCGCGAAAACAGTTGGCATGAGTAAAATGATGACTCGAAAATCAGGTTGTCTTTTTCCTAACTTTCTGACTTCAGAGTTATTTTGTTTTTGTTCATTAGAATTTTTGAAATAACGATATCTTGCGAAGGTAGGAAAGCTTCGTAGCTTGTAAAATATTAACTCAAAATGTAATTTAGAAGTAAAACTTGTGATCAATTGTTTCGTGAAAATTAAAATTGATATTTTTGGGCTGGGATTTACTTCCTTTACAAGATTGTCGATGCTTTCCACTTACGGGTCAGAAGTGCCTTCATCGTGCAGTATTGAAAAGCTTCATTTCATAATCTGGTAAGATATGGGACATTTTCCCCTACCCGATAGTGGTGTTAGTATGCGGGGACAAGATACTAGTTACGCCAAATCGACGATCAAATGCATTGCTTACCAAAGCTGATACGTCCCTTTGAAAAAGTAATCGATAATGTTGGGAAGGTTGGGATAATTTCCAAACCTAGTGGTAAATGTAAATCTTCATATTACATTTACCACTAGGTTCGGAAATTATCCTTATTTCGACTTTTCCATTGCCATTTTCAATCATCATGATGTCTCTTTCAGCGTGATTGCTTATAACCTCCAAATTTATTATTTACTATGTTGCTTGCATGAATATAGGGTTCATGACCCAGGAAAATTCAGAAACACTAAGAAAGCTCCAATGTATACCCAGGCATGGAAAATCATTTACATTAATTTCATGCATTCATTTACATTCATTTGCCTCTAACTTTTTTCATAGGCAGCATTCCGCAAAATGAGTAGGCTTTAGTAGGTTTTGTTATTAGCTACAACTTTTGCTCATAACTCAAATCTGTATCTCTTATGCATCACGAATTAGAGCAAGTAGAACCCGTTACTGTTTTTCAGTGAATGTAAAATACATTCACTGAAAAACAGTAGCGGATTATGTTTGCTCTGATTCGTCATGCATAAGAGATATGAATTTGAGTTCTGCCAAAAGTTCATTTTGCAGAATTCTGTTGATGAAAAAATTTAGGGGCAAATGAACGTAAATCAATGCACGAAATGAATGCAAATGATTTTCCATGCCTGTGTATGCCACGTTTATAGAAAAAAAATTTTCTTCCCATGTAAGATATTGCGGTGCTAATCATATCTCTGAGTAGTGCAACCCGATTTCTCCCTGTTAACTGGGGCCATATTATAGAACCAAGTCAAAACGACAGTTTTCATACAAGCGTTCATACGAAAAACGCTTCATTTTGACTTCCATATCGTGTCGTTCCATATCGTGAAGATTTCGATTAATAATGGCAATATCAAATTGTACTTCAAGTAGATACCACGTGGAGATATCCAGATGATCCCGTATTTCTGATGATATCGGCTTCTAATGACATCATTCGAGATCCAGTTGACAGGCCTTACTTACCTTACCAATTAGGCTAAGGCCTTGCTGTCCTCTGCTGTCCAAAGAAGTCGTCTTCACTCTAATCGATCCATGGCCACACTTCGCAAGCCTTGTAGTCTTCAAAGGGTCCGCAGGTTGCCTTCTACTTGGTCGATCCACCTTGCCCGCTGCGCGCCTATTCTTATTGTTCCTGTTGGGTCGCTTTCGAGAAACATTTTCACTGGGTTGTTGTGCGGCATTCTTACGACGTATCTAGTGCATCGTAGTCGCCCAATTTTCGCAATGTGGACGATGGATGGTTCTCCCAGCAGCTGGTGCAATTCGTGGTTCATTCGTCTCATCCGTCTTCCATCTGCACTCCACCGTAGATGGTACGTAACACCTTCCGTTCTAAAACACAAAGGGCGCGTTGGTCCTCCACGAGCATAGTCCAGACCTCGTGGCCGTAGAGGACCACTGGTCTAATCAGCGTCGAGCAGATAGTCAACTTCGTGCAGTGGCGAATTTTATTCGACCGGAGCGTCCTCCGGAGTCCAAAGTAGCCACGATATCCTGCCATAATGCGTCTTTGTATTTCTCTGCTGGTATCATTTTCGGCAGTCACCAGTGAGCCCAAAAACATGAACTTGCCGACCAACTCGATTTTGTCACTGACAATCTGAACTCGGGGTAGGAGGCTAACATTGTCTTCCCTCGAACCTCGTCCTCTCATGTATTTTGAAATTCCATCACTTTGCTGTAACCCCTTTCGAGATTCTAAGGGACTCGAGAGTGTCCCCGATACTCGAACAACGCACATCACTCGATCCATTGTCGCCTTAACCAATTGCGTCCGTTTATCCTGAAATTCGTTCTCGTGCATACTCTGCCATAGCTGATCTCGATCGATTGTGTCGTATGCGGATTTGAAATTGTTGAACAAATGATGTGTGGACACGTTGTATTCGTGACATTTCTGCAGAACCTGCCGAATCGCAAAAATTTGGTCCATGGTAGCATGGGTACCTATGAATCCCGCCTGGTATTGCGCCATGAACTCTCTTGCGAATGGTGACAGGCGGCGGCATAGAATTTGGGAGAGTACCTTGTGGCGGCCCTCACGCGGTAGTTGCAGTAATTTAACTTGTCGCGCTTTTTGTAGATTGTGCATACGACACCTTCCATCCACTCCTCTGGTAATATCTCCTCCTCCTAAATCTTGGCAATTGCCCAGTGCAGCGCTCTAGCCAGTGCTTCACCATCGTATTTTAATAGCTCACTTGATAGTTGATCCACACCAGTTGCTTTGTTGTTCTTCAACCGACCGATCTCCTCCTCAACTTCATGAAGATCAGAGGCCGGTAGCCTGTCGTCTTTTGCACATGCTCCAAGGACTGTTGCCGTGCCACCTTCGTTTTCTGCTGCATCACCGTTGAGGTACTTGTCATAGTACTGCTTCCACCTCTCAATCACCTCAAGTCCCTCCAGCCAAGAGTAGCTGCGCCAAGCTGCTCTTCCGTGGGTAGTGCAAATTCCAGCTGCTGCGCGTAGTCATGGGCAACTCCGTTGTCCCGTAATTGCTCAATTTTGGGTCGCGGCGTTCGACTTCGACTTGGTCAGGTGATCTCCAGGTGGCTTTGTGGATATCCTTGCGAGGGAAAAAGGTTCTCGGGACTACCATACCCCGAGAGGCTGCAAAGCTCACGCATCGTTGGCCATTGTCGTTCGATACGGCATGCAGGCTGTTTAGCCCGATTGGCGGTCTGTACATTGCCTCCCGTCCTACCTGATCGTTTATGTCACCGATGATGATTTTGACAGCCGTCGTACACCTGCTCCAGCTGCGCATAAAAAAATCATAAATTTCCTATAGATCACTACGCGAAACCTAACCTAAATCACTCCATATCCTCACCCGGAAATATTGACATTCAGGACGGGTTTGTTTTGGTCTCCATTCGTTCCTATCTCTTTTAAAGAGAAAGGAGAAAAGAAGTCGGCGAAAAGAGAGGTTAGCTTTTGCGTGCAGTGCTTTATTGACAGCTCTTCTTGTTTGTTTACGATTAAACTTGGTTTATGACGCCCCGCAAAACATCAAATAGAGATAGTATTCTAAATAATGACCATGTAAAGTGTGAATCACGCAAATTTGACGTATCAATTCTTAAAACATTTATGAATGTTCCATTACCTTTGCGGACTAATAAGAGTACTTTGAGCACATTTAATTTTTGTCATCTGGCCACTTCTCAAGTTGCAAGAATGTGATGTCAATTTTTCAAGGTCTGACCCTACTATGTCCAAATAGATTAGTGGTTGTCGAAAAATGTAGGCTATCAAAAAGGCCATTACCAGCCGAGTTCTACAAACTCATGAAGTTTGTTTTGGTTAATGTCGGGAATTAGTCATTTCCTCGCGGGCACCGGAATATTCCTAGGGCACCAGAACATGCTAGGGAGATCTAGTGTGACCATGGACTGTCAATAAGGCCATTACCGGCCGAGTATTGCAAAATCATGAAGTCTGGTATTAATTCTTGCTGAGAATTGGCCACTTTCCCGAAGGCATCAGAACATTTCCATAATGACCAATGTGACCGTGATCTCTCTATAAGGCCATTTTCAGCCGAGTTTTTTTTTTTAAACCATGAAGTATGATATGTTACACGACGGGTTTTGGTTGTTGAGCATTGACCACTTCTCTGGGGCACCCGAACATGCCCGGGAGGACTAGTGGGATCGTGGACTTTCAATAAAGCCATTACCGGCCAAGTTTTTAAAGTCATGAGTTTTGCTATGTCGCACGACGGGTTTTGGTTCTTGTTGAGAATTGGACACTTCTCCGGGGCACAGGCGCCTGCCCTGGAGGGCTAGTATGACCGTGAACTGTCAATAAGGCCATTACTGGCCAAGTTTTGGAAAATCATGAAGTTTGATATGTCGCACGACGGGTTTTGATTCTTGTTGAGAATAGGTCACTTCTTCGGGGGCTCCGGAACATTCCCAGGAGGACTAATTTGACTGTGGACTGTCAATAAGACCATTACTGGCCAAGTTTTATAAAAACATGAAGATTGATATGGTACACGTTTGGTTCTTCGGCTGGAAACGATGGTTTTAGAGCTAATTTAATTTTTAAATCTAATCAAATTTAGACGTTAAGCACACCGCTTTCTGCCAGGCGAGTCAATATGCAACGCTTATTTGTCTTTGATCTCATCGAAGGATCCATCAATTATCCTGCACTTCTCGAGCAGATTCCACTCAATGTTCCTCCCCGACGCTTCCGCAAATCATCACTGCTAGCTGTTCCATATAATAGGACAAACTACGGCCATAATAATCCATTCGACCCGTGTCTTCGAGCATTCAACGATGTTAGTGAAGAGTTTAATTTTAACACTAGGATTAAAGATATAGTTTACATTTAGTTATAAAATGTTCATTCTGTACGACTCAGTCAAAGATGGTGATAAATAAATTAAAAAAATAAATAAAAATGATCCAGCTACACTCTCACCGGTGAACCATCCATTAAAATAGTGAGCGAGTAGCACTTACAAAATATCAAAATTTTGAACATATCTCCGAAACCATTTGTAAACATTCTATGGGAGCTAGAAACACACAAGCAGAAATTTGTTGCACTCAAATCGGTTCAGCCATCGCTAGGAACAATGAGTGGATAACGAACATTACATCTTTTTTTTCAGAACAATGTTTTCTTGGTTCCATTTGGGGTCCCAAACAACTGTGCATAATTTGGGGATAATTGCTTTTTGCCTGGCTTTCTGCAATGCGTTTTAAATTTGTATTGATATTATTATATGAAAAAAATTTGCTTGAACCATGCAACTAATGCCCAAGGATGTGCGGTCTTAGAATGTATCAAAAATAAAAGTTAGAGCTGTTCAAAGATCGATGTTTCAAATTAAATGCCAAAAATCACTTTTCTGCCAACACTGCCAATGAAAGTCAAATCCCAAATTTCAGAGTTCCTTATCTTATTGATTTGTTAGGTTCAGATGAATTATTCAAAACCAATTGCTCTATCTCATAAGCGTAACTTACAAAGACCCCCCTCTCCCCCCCCCCCCGCTCATATCAATGGAAGTACAGTTTCGAACAGAAATAACTGTCGAGTTGGTATGTTCGGATGTGATATGTAAATATATTCAATCTAATTGAAGACTGAAATGACTACGGAGTTTCCCATCTTCTCGAGTTGGTGAACAATTATGCGAAGTTACATGGAATAATTGAAAAAAAAAATTGCCTGGAATTGGTCATGAACTAAAGGAAACACGGAAACAGCCTACTTTGCTTGTATCTCCATCAATCTAGCCTCTTTTTAATAATGAAAAAGTTGATTTTGACTAGCGAAACTCAACAATTATTAATCAATCTTCATAACCAAGGAGAATATAGAAAAATATTGGTATTTTTGTGAATTTATAAATTTTTATTTTTCCCCATTAATTAAAGTAATTTAATTAACTAACCTCGATTTTTTTTTTGTAATCAGATCATACAAGACTTTAAATCAAATGTTCAGATAACCGTTGGAATTAAAATGGAAAAAAAATATCCCGAGTAAAGTCAGTGAAAAGAAAGAAGACATATGCCGGCAAATGAGTAGAGTAATAAAATAGGTTATTTCAGGGCGAAACAACGAGTTGCTTCTTTTATGGTTGTTAACGTCAGTTCAACAGCAAAATTTGCATCAGGTGATCGAACAGCATCAAAAAGAATACTCTAAAAAATCGTATAATATATCAAACTGAAATATAATCATTACAACCTATGACATTTGTGTGAAAACGTCTGACGTAATATCAAATTTACACCACACAAATAGGGAAGAGGGAGGAAGACTCATTTTCAAACTGATCCTATGAGAATAAGAAAATGTGTTTCACAAACCCATTTGAACATACCAACTCGAGGAGATGAGAAACTCCGAAATTATTTCTGTCTGTAACTTTGCTTTCATTGATATAAGTGATGGAGCGGGGGAAACAGTAAGTCTCTCAACCCTTATCCAACTTCTACAATTAGATTGAACAAATATTTTTGAGTAGCACATCAAAATAAATACATCAACTCGATATGATAAGAAACACCTAAGTTAATTTATTTATACGAGTGAGGTTTGTGGGGGTTTTAGTTAGTCCCCCATTAATCTAACCACGTGTATTATATATATTATCAGGGATCAAGGAAACGGACACACATGGCTTTTCAAGTTAATACCTAGTGCACATCAACGAGTAAGCAGCGGAGTACCTGTTCCTACAGGAAATTAAATTTAAGTTTACCTAGTTTCTAAGTGAAAATGTACCTGTGTTAATATATATTCGGTAAATGCGATGCGTTTCTTCAGTCGAGTATTAGTACAAGACACTGAAGAAGTCTGCACATTGTAGACGAAATACGCGTATCTGTCAAGGATAAGCAAATAAAGTAGTGGTATTAAATTGAAATTACTAATCCTTCTCTCTCTCATTATACAGGTATTCCACTAAGCCGCCCACATTCATCAGGATTCACGTGTATGATATTGATGTATTGGTTTTGAATAATTTATATGAACATACCAAATCGATATGATAAGAAACTATTAAATTATTTCATTTTGGAAACTGACTTCCATTGGTACACCGCATTGCTATATGGCAGAAAAGCGAGTTTTGGCATTAATTTCAATTCATAAATATTTGAACAGTTATAACTTTTTTATATATATTAGTTTGTTGCATGATTCAAGCAAAATTGTGGTCTCTAGAGATGAAAATGCAAAAGAGTAGGTTTTTGCATACTAATTTCTAACGGAATGCGGAATGCCGGGCTACAACCAATCGTCGCCAAAAGGAACCACAAAAAGGGTTGTTCTCGCTTGATGAGGTCAAGTTTGCGTTTTTCCATATAACGGTTACCAAACCTAATGTATTACACATATAACAGTTGGCCCGCCGTCGCTTTTCTGTACGCTGGGCATTTAAAGTCTCCCGTC